CCCTGCAGGGGGGTTGGACTGGGTGACCTTTAAAGGTCTCCTCCAAGCCACCCCAGTCTGGTTCTGTGGTTGCAGAGTGGGCCCTGAGTGATGCACCAGTTCCCTTGACTGTGGCACCAACTTCCATTCAAGGAGAAACCCCCAAAGGCAGCAAAGTGCCAGGGGTGGGCAGCAGCTTCTGCCTGGCTTCCTTGTGGTCCTTTAATCCTGCCATTGTCAGGCCGCTGTGTAAACACAGCCTCTTGCCCCCAGAGCCTCCTGAGTGTGTCTGCCCCAGCCCCCCCACCAGTGGCTGAGCAGCTAATTTACAGGGTGGGCCATTCCCCTTCCAGATACTGTCAAATGAACAACTTGAAATCACAGGGTTGGCTGCTCAAAGCCAGATGAAAAGACACCCCAGCATTGTCTTCCCCAGTGCTGCTTTCTCATGTAAAGCCCCGAGAGGGGAGCACCTCATTGTTTACTTGCAGCAGAACAAACAATACTTAATCCACTGATTGTGTGAGGGGGGCTCCCCGCTTGGGAGAGTATCTCTTGATTATGTAAAACCCCAAATCGGGGCATCTTTGTCTCCTAATTACGATAAGACCTGCCCTGCTCTTGGGAGCAATAATGGGGCCTTTTGTCCCGCTGACAATGGGCTGTGGCACCGCATCCCCTCCGTGGCATTACCCCCTCCCCCGACAGCCTCTGGCCCTTTGTAGCCCTGGGACCTGGACCCTAATTAGTGACATGAGCTGGTCAACCCTCCTGAGGCTGTCTCATTAGCAGGAGGAGGTGGTCCAGGGGTGCTTTCTGACCCCCTTGGCCTCTCTATCTGGGTTATTTAAAGAGCAAGGACTGTTCTCCCTGCAGCAGGGGCCTCAGGACACGGTCTATTTTTGGGGGGGTTTGTATCTGAGGGTCGATATAATTAGCAGAGTGCTGAGACACCACGAAGCCAGTCTGGAAACAGGTCGGCTTCCCTGGGAACTGCTGTGGTGGAGGGTTGCTGTCAAACTTGGGAACGTGCTGATGAAGGTCTCCTGACAGCTCTGAGCAGCGTCAGCAGCGAAGGAGACGCGAGGGTTTCCTGGGGAGAGACCTCTCCAGGCACTCTGTGAGGCTTCTCCTCTTCCCTTGGCAAGTAGAGCAGAACAGGCTTAAAGGAAAACGTGTGGCTTTTCAGAAAGTCCATGCAGTGTAAAACCCCTCTGGTGGGTTTCGTTGGAAGCAGAGAGAAGCCTCTCTAGTTCCTCTCCTTCTTCTCCAGGAGGCTTCTTACCGTGCTCTCTGTACCAACAGCTAAAGGGGTTTGAAGTTTTCCTTCCTCACAGCAGCAAGGAGATGTTAGTGCTGCCTCCTATGCCTATCTTCTTGAGGAGAGGAGGAGGAGGAGGGGGGTGGTGGGAGCATGGCAGTCCCCACCTCCCTTAGAGACCTGTTTCAGCATCAGTTCTCAGCAAGGACAGTTGTGTGGTTTGGGCACGGGAAGAGCCTGGATCTTAGTGAGCGTTATGAGAACCTTCTGCTCACATTTGGTTCAGTGGGGCCTTGCCTTCAGCTGTGAGATTTGGGGCTGCTGCAGGAGACAGGAAATCAGCAGACATTGCAGAGCGTGCGAGACACCATCTGCCTCAGTCACCCAGCTGCCCTGCTGGCCAGAACCAGGAGATGCCTGTTGCTGTGAATGGATTCAGGGGAGATGAAGTTTTTTTGACCTTTTTACAGAGCATGTCCAAACAGCAATTTGATATATTAAGCTTTGCAGCTTGCCAAATCCCAGGCGTATTTTCACAAGGACAGCAAAAGCAGTTCTCTTGCCCCAGGGCAACGTGCTTCTGTAGAGCTTCCAAAGAAGGAAAACCAAAAGCCATTCACAGCCTTACCTTGTTCTTCAAAACATCCTACCCCAGTTTTGCTGAAACTTGTAGTCAGCTTGGCTCCAGGTCGAACAGCAGCACAGAAAGCTGCTGCTTTGAACAGTTGCATC